TGTATCATTGATCCCATTTTGAGGGAGGTGATAGACTGGATGGTCACTTGAGGATTCTTCCTCTATATTGCTTTTATTAATTCTTTTGCAATCCAATACAAATTGTTATTATAGTAATATCTGTGAGAAGAGAAGCTGAAACAGCAAGGCAATAATGGCAATCACAGCGAAAAGTTGCTAAAGAAAAAGAGTCTGCTACCATAGCACAGGTGGCTGAGAAGACACTAAAGAAGATAAGTGACTATTTGATTTTTTTCTTTGGAGGCGTATGGAAGGAAACAAGAAAAAACGCAGAAAAGAAAAATCATGGATTATCCAAGTTGCATTAATAATCCATTTTATCTCACCAGCCAAATTCATATTTCTTTTAAAAAAGAACAGTTGTGTAGCTGTGGTGAAAATGTGCATTTTGCTTGCTATTCAAAAAGTACCTTTTTGAATTAAATTTATAAATGAAAGAAAGAAACACTACTACAACACCTGTCAGGTGGATTCCCCATGAATCTTAGATTGTCACACTCAACCATATATTCCAAGTTAGATGGAATTATAATGAGAGCATAGAAAGATTTAGTAAGGACAGAGAGTCATAGAGAGTGGAAACATTGCTGACTGAGGATGCTGAGTGTTGTACTGCAGGGTACCCCACTGCTAAGACTTCAGTGTGAGCACTTTTCAGGGAGAACAAGAACAAAAGCACATAGTAATATATGCAGTTGCTACAGTTACTACATAAGTACTCACTCATTCAAATAACGAAGAAAAAACCCAAATTGGTGTTATATTGGAGTAAAAGATGAGTTAACACTTGTTGCAGAAAGGATGCCTGGCTAAGAAGTCCAAGCGTGAGCCACATGCATACCCTCTGCAAGAGACCTCGGAATACTGATTAAAGGTATAGTATTTTAAACTATTGATCAAAACACCTAACATTTTACATTAAGCCAAAAAGTGCTGTTTGAACACTCCATTTGCTACTTATTTTTCAGGGATCCCAAAGCAGCAAATAGTTCGAATGACTTCAAAAGTTTGGACCTCCTAATAGGTTGCAGGTAATTCAAACTATCTGGTATCCCAGTATTGTATTGTTCTGTGTAATCTTCAGCTGGCTTTCTAATAACTTACCAAATTACATTTTATGTTTCAGGATATTTTATTATATTTGCACTTTTCAAGGCAGATTTGGAGCATGTAGTTTGCAGCTGCTGGATTCTGTTTTAAGTTCTGCAATGGAAGTCCGAAAGCTTGACGTATTTCTTGTGTCTTCTCCTTTGTTTCATTTGTTTCCTTATTCCTCCACAAGTGAAAGTGAACCTCACTAATATTTTATAGAGGTGGTATAGAAAGATAAAAAGGACAATTTTAACTAAGAAAAGTAGTTTTGCCTTTGTTATTCAAAGAAAGGTCAAAAAATTCTCACCAGCTTCAGTTACATAAAGACATATCAAGGTAAGAAAAGGTTTTTTTTTTAAACTCCAATTGTCAAATCAGATAGGACTGAATTTTTAGCACTGTGGCACAGTGATTGTCCATGGTGTGGGATTCAGCTCCAGGCAGCCAAATCTGCCTGTGAGCTAAGTGATGACCTCTACCATCTAGTTGTCAGAAGTCTAGTCAATAAAAGTAGTGGACCCAGTGAGATCTTTAGCTGACTGCTTTGTGTTTTGATGCCCACTTTATGGTTACTTTAATTCTTTCAGAACATAATTAATTAAATTAATTGACCAAGCATTCAATTAAGTTGTCCACATACGGGCATATAGTAATGTATGAGAAGCCAGAGGATGTCCAAGACATCCTCTTGAACATGGCAGGTAATACAGAAATTTGTAGGGGTATTGTACTCTGCTGGAGCAGCAGCTGGAAGCAAGGCAAGATACTCCAAGGCATGGCAGGTGGAGCTGGCCACCTCTGTACAACCAATTTAATTGAGTCCTAAATCTCAGTTGGGTATGAGGGAAGCCTGGACACAGGGATCACATGCAGGCACTGAGAGTGAGTACAGAAGTGTACGTGTCTGCAGTGAGAACACAAATCCTATTGTAGACTTAAATTGGCAACCATGCAATTCTGGAAACTTCATGGCTCTTGCCTTCTTTTTAAGAAGTCCCAAATATCTGCAACTCTAGGTGTCTAAGCAGCTGAAAAATATCCAGATTCTGAGTCAAAAGTATAACAAAGTGTAACGAAGTATCTGGAAATACAAGGAAGATTCAGGCAATCATTCCCATGAAGTGGAGGATGCTGAGAGAGAGACTGTCAAAAATAGCCATGACCATCTGTGGTGGTTTTAATCTAGGCCTTCCCTGGTTACCAGTTTGTAACCAAGGAAGGGGCAGTGTTCCCAGTATTCCATACGATTTTTATGTAAATCGAGGTATAAATAAGAAGGGAGGAGAGTCCTTCGCTCTCTTCTCTTCTGCCGAAGTTCAGGAACAGTGGGTCCCTGCGTTGGTCTCGCTTATCTAAGGCTGAGGCCTGCAGCATCCACTGGCCTGCCATGTGGAGGCCTGGGGAGTGCTGGCCATGTGTGTGTCAACCCTGGTTTTTTCTAAGGGATGTGGTGAGATTTGTTTTACTAGTTATTTTACTAATTCTCGGGTTTGATTGCCTATATCTGCTCGGTATCCTTTTTTTGTTCCCTTTTGTTCCTTTTCCCCTTTCCCTATTCTTTCAGGGTGTGTTTGGATTCCCTTTTGCTCTATAGATAGCATCTTAACTGTAATATACATAATATATATATATTTTTTTATATAACTAGCTTGATTTTTGGGTTCTTCAAATTGCATAGTTTTTTTTCCTTTGCCCTGGGGGAAGTAGAAAGTGGGGAAGAGAGGGGCTGCTACTGGGGGGTTGGGCATTTGGCAGGGAGCCAAGTCCGAACCATCACACCATCTCAGCACAGCCTTTTTTTCTCTGGAAATAAAAAAAAAGTTTCTTTGTAATTACTTAATAAAATTTCTGATCTCTCTGCTATACAACTGGCATTTCATTATTTCTCTGTTCACTTCAGTAGGAGCTGCAGAGCTTCCAGGGGTACTGAAAATACAGCAATGGATGTAAATTCTAAATATGGATTTAGTAATCTAACTTAGTGGTCATAAGCAATATTAAGTCTGTCTACAGGTGTTGGTTACTCTTTATGAATGCCCATTCTGCCATAGTTTGCCCATAGTATGTGGCTAAGTCTATTTTTCTATACAATTATTAATAAAATAAACCATCTTGTTTATTAGTCATGTAAAGAATTTATTGTTTGAGCATTTAAAATCTCTTTTATTTTGAATACTAAGAGTTTATATAACTTGGTATTCGAGTTATTGTGTACAAGAACATGAAAAGTTTATGTGCAAGTCACTTTTTGATGTCAAGAAAATCATTTCTAGCTGTTAAAAGCAAAGCACAATAATTTATATTTACAGGGGAGAAAAAAAGATAAGTTGCTCTCTTTGTCACAGTGAAAAGCCTCTATACAGAACTTTCCATTGTCTCTCCTAGGAAAAACTGAACTGTCTTTTTAATGGATTTAGATATGTTCTATTTTTAGGAAATAATTTTTTGCTTTTTACTTTTTTTAAAGAAAAATTTCACAGATAATCAAATATCTCTGTTGTTTTCTGACAGTGTTGTATGGTATCATCTTCCATAATATAATGCTTAAAATCCATTGTCACTAAAATGTTCACGATTTGCCAAAGATGAGCTGTGTTTTATAAGACATGTAGTAATTTTCTTAAATATCATGATGCTTCAGTTCAGTGTAGTATAACCTAATGCTTTTTACAACAAGTGTAGCACAATGTATTTTTTTCTGGCATGCTAATCTGATTGGCAGTGATGACACTGACAAGCATTCTAAGCTTCTCATTTTTGTTCCAGATCTCCCTTTGGATTGTTCCAGAACTCCCTTTCACTTGAAGAGTGAAAAACAAAGTCACAGTGGGGAAAGAACATGCCATGGACGCCTTTTGCGATCAAGCATGATCATTCCATGCTGTCAAGGATAGCATTTATCTAAGCCCTACAGCAGACTGGCAAATTGACTGGTTACTCAAATAGTGTATAATTTTTTTCATCTTTTCAAAAAAAAAATGGAGATTCTGTTCAATAAAAAGTATGGAATATTACCAGTTGGGTCTTGTGTTTCTCTGAATGGTTACATAACACAAAATTAGCGATAAGGATTGCACAGTGTAAACTTAAAATTGAAGCATTCTTGGAATGTTAAAATATGTTTCCAATGTTGAAAATCCATTTCTCAGACATCAGAATTATGTGTGAGCTCTTTCAGTGGAAACCTCTCTTTTTCTTAAGCAGATCAATTTCATAGCCATCAAGATGAAGATACACATGCTCTGTTTAGCTGTAGCACACTTACTAGCCAACAAATACTCATCTCTGCCAAAATGTGTAAAATGTGTTTGCCAAAACAAAATGAACCATGAGCAAACAAGTGAGAAAACCCACACTACAAAATGCTGCAAGTTGAATGCATTCTCAGGGCGCAGACATTTCAATTGCAGGATATCAGCAATGTGCAGCTCTTCATTGCATACCATATATGGTTCCAGTTATTTAGAACATTCAAAGTTATGCTGTAAGTCTTAAATGTCTACATACAGCCCTGAAAGGGACTAAAATTGCTGTTGTACTTGTCCTATTCCCTTTTTTATTGCTGAGGATTCGTGCATTGCTTCAACCCTTTCATACTTTGTGAAGTCTCGAGGGACCATAAACTCTACAGCAAACTGGGAAAAAATTGTAGATGGCCCTTGATAAGGCATGAAGGAGGTTCATTGGTTGACTGGTTGTATTGCAGAGTGAGGACCATTGCTTTGGAAATGTTTTCATGGAAATTACCTTGCTCTTTTATTATTTTTGTCTGTTATTATTGAAGCTCTTGGTTCCCAGAGAGCCAGGTTGACTTCTCTGGATGTGCTACCTCTGAAATTATCTTTATACTGAAAACTGTCTGTCATCATATTTGTATTTCTTCATAGGGCCTGCACTAGGCAACGCATGCTGAGCGGATCATTTGAGGGGCAGCCAGCAAAGGAAAGGTCAATACTTAGTGTCCAGCATCATATACGACAAGAACGCAGGTAAACATAGACAAAAAGGATGGTTTTAAAATATTCTTAAAATAAAGGTGACAAAAAGAATTCAATTTGAGCAATACTTGAGACGTGAAAACCTGAAATTACCTACTTGTACAAAGAACTGAATTCTACATTCTTCATTGTAACCATAATGAAATTCATTGTACTGTATAAATGGAAAAAATGCCTTTTTATTTCAAATGTCATTTCCTTTGCCAACTACAAAGCTATCAGTTTGAAGATCAGAAGGAAAGAAATTGGCTTATGTTAGACCAGATTGAAAACAATTGAAGAACATATAAGCTTCTGATGTTAGCGAGAGAAAAATGATAAGAATTTGAGATATTGGATGTCTGGAGAGCAGTGCTTTATAATGGGCATCTTATAAAGGTCAAAATTTCATCTTGAGATGTATTGTTACATTGATTATTATTGTTTCAGGTCACTGAGACATGGTTCCAACAGCCAGCGAATCAGCAGAGGAAAATCTCTTGAAACGTTGACTCAAGATGTAAGTCCTCATAGAAATGACGGATTTGATTTTGGGGAATATTAAAAAAATAAGATTACATATTATAGAATAAATGCTTGTGTAAGACTAATTTCTATTTATGAATTAGCTTACAATTTATCTTTTGAAATCTTGAAGTCATGTAACAAATACTGTAAGTGCATTAGAATTATCCTCAAAATAATTACCGTGGTTATTTCACTGATAGACTTACTGGTTTTAGAACACTTGCTGAGATAGATTCACTGAAGCTGTAGACACTACATTAGGAACACAACAATTGCTACCCAGGACACCTTAAAAAGTCTTACTCTGAAATTACACAAATCACTTAGGCTGGCAAAACAGCAATTTGCAATTGCTGGTGGAACTTTAGCAATATTTTTCAAGCAGTAGAACTGTGAGATGGAAGGACAAAGACTAAAAGGGAGAACAGTAATTGTGGATTTCACTGTGGTTGTTTCATACAGTTAAGTGCATTTTCATTTTGCAAATTCATACCATATTTGTGGAACTCTGTGACAATGAAAATTCGCGGGGCAATATTAGTCCCCCCATTTCCAAACTATCAAAGTCTTCAAAGAAACAGAGTTACAGAATCACAGAATCAATTAGGTTGGAAAAGACCCCTGAGATCATTGAGTCCAGCCTATGGCCTAACACCCCCTTTTCAACTAGACCATGGCATTAAGTGCCACATCCAGTGTTTTCTTAAACATCTCCAGGGATGGTGAATCCACCACCTCCCTGGGTAACCCATTCCAATGCCCAGTCACTCTTTCTATGAAGAACTTCTTCCTAATGTCTAACCTAGACCTCCCCTGGTGCAGCTTAAGACTGTGTCCTCTTGTCCTGTCACTTGTTGTCTGGGAGAAGAGACCAACCCCCATCTGGCTACAACCTCCTTTCAGGTAGTTGCAAGCAGTGATGAGGTCTCCCGTGGGCCTCCTGTTCTCCAGGCTGAACAACCCCAGCTTCCTCAGCCTCTCCTCATAGGTCTTGTGCTCCAGACCCTTCACCAGCCTCATTGCCTTTTTCTGGACATGCTTCAGCACCTCATTTCCCTCCTAAACTGAGGGGCCCAGAACTGGACATAATACTTGAGGTGCAGCCTCACCAGCACTGGTAAAGGGGAAGAATCACTTCCCTGTTCCTGCTGGCCACACTGTTCCTGATACAGGATGCCATTGGCCTTCTTGGCCACCTGAGCACACTGCTGGCTCATGTTCAGCCTCCTGTCAATCTGTCCCTAACCTGTAGTGCTCCATGGGGTTGTTGTGGCCAAAGTGCAGGACCCAGCACAAGGTCTTGTTGAACCTAAACTGTAGGTAGCCAAAATGGATGTGACTTTGTTAGTGTCCAATAGTAAGGATAACACCCAGTGTTACCCCACCAGGAGTGCTCCAAAGACTCTCATAACACAGAATAGTAATACTGATTGTACCCTTCACTGGATGAGCTCAGACAGCATACCTCCCTCACTCTCACTCTCCCTGTCCCTGCACTCAACATTCACTGCCTGTGTGTTTCTGCATGCCTCGCAGTGTGGCAGCCATGCAGCAGGCTTGAGAAGCTGAAAGGATGTCTAAACCCTTTTCTTTCCCAGTCTTTGCCCTTAGTAACTTTGATGGTATTCATTCCAGTTCAGAGAGATTGGCTGAGCTGGCAGGACCTCTGTTTTTAAAGTTGAAAGTTAGATTGGATGGAACCTCGAGCATGAAATTAGAACTGAAATTAACCTTGATGAAAATAAGGAGCCTTATGTTGTAGATGGAAAATACTGTGCAATATGCTTGACTGAGTTGATGTGCAGTACAATTGGAAATAAAGACTTTTCATTTTAATATTTCTATGTAAAATACCATATCTTACTTTCATCTGAAACATTAAAAAACAACAACCTTCAGACCTTATTTAAAAGGAATCATTTTGCTTCTAGCACTCCAACACAGTGAGATACAGAAATGCACAGAGAGAAGACAGTGAGATAAAGATGATCCAAGAAAAAAAGGAACAAGCTGAAATGAAAAGGTATTTAACAATCAAAGTCTGAGTGCACATTTTCTGTATTAACTATTCTACGTATGAAGTAAAATGTATTGAGAGTCAGCATGAAAAAAAGAACAAAGTGTAAGAGAGATTTTTGCCATATATAATGGATATTTTTGCCATATATAATGCGTAACACTTAATAATTTACATTTTTTTCAAAAGGAAAGTCCAGGAGGAGGAGCTGCGAGAGAATCACCCATATTTTGATAAACCCCTGTTCATAGTTGGTCGTGAGCACAGATTCAGGAATTTCTGCCGAGTGGTGGTACGAGCTCGCTTTAATGCGTAAGTTCATTTCATATCAACATTGGTTCCAACAGGGATTTGCCTTCTTATCCTCAGAAAACAAGTTCTAACTTTTCTTTTACAAGGAAAACTGCATATGATGTGGTCACCAGACAAGCTGGCAGTCAGTTTTCTGTAGTGTAGTCTTACTGTTGGAAGAAAGGAAGCAATAAAATGCTGTGTAAGAGCAGATGTGTTTGAGCAGTCTGTGATGTTGAGATGGGACAAAACTATGGGGAAACCATAGGTGTGAACTGAGAGGAAAGGCTAATGTTTCCCAGTTTTAGACCTTGGGGAATCAGCTTACTATTTCCTTCCTATTCCTCATCATAAGGCAGGAAGTTTTTATACACCAGCAGTTACTCATAGAACAGAAAAAGGAGAAGAGAAATGAATCACACCTATACTCACCCAAAGACTCCATAGCCCATAATTAGAGACCCAGAATGGGATGGGGAGATCCAGAACAGAATGGGATGTGTGAGCATGGCAGATAGAGATCTGTGTACAAGCAGCTTGATATAAAATAATGTTACAGCTTTTTTTTGAAACCTCTGTCTGTGACTGGCATCCTAATTTTTGAGGGTTAATGCGTGTCACCTTGCAAACGGACAGTGTAAGACACAAGATAGCTCAAGACTATGAGCTTGGTCATTGGAAGGACTGATTTCGGTACCTGCTTTACCACTGATTTTCTCTGTGCCCTTCAATAAATTGGTTAGCATGGCAGGAAGTTTAGATATTCAGTTTTAAAAATACCTATATGTAAGTGTTCTGTCATGTATGTAGAGGCATGTCCTTGAGTTACATCCCCACTTTTTTATGCAACTGCTAACTTGATTGTGGTGCACTGGTCCATGAAGCACTGCAAATTAACACAGAAAAGAAGCCCCCACATAAACAGTCATTCCAATCCACTTGTCAAAAACTCGTCAGTGCCTCTTAGCATTGTGAACTGCCTGATGGTAAAGGATATTTACACTGAAACAGTTTAAAGAAAATGTTTGCAACTATTAGAATAAACCGATTTTCTTAAACAGTACTTTTTTTTTTCATTTCTTTAAATCTTACCTGCTTTATTCATTGTCCTACCTAGCTTGCCAAGTAAGATATTTTAAATATCTGTTTCAAACTGGTAGGATACATATTTTCTTCCAGTAAAAAAGGCTGAGGAATGCTCCTATGTAAAATATGGAGAAAAAGTGTGAACTTAAGAAGAAGCAAAAGTCAGTATGCTCAGTGGAAAGGCACCTAGTCCAGTATATTCTGTGTACTGACTGGTATAAGCGGGTGAAACTGGCCTCTGGAAGATGGCTCTTATATGCCTTGTGCTTTCCTGTAATTCATAACCATGAAATCTCTCTGTTAGTAATTCCTCAGGTCTATTCAGTCCTTTTTTCAGTTTAAGCTCATCAAGTAAGTGATGGCAATTTCACATCCCAATGGCTAGAACCCTCCAGTGGAATATAGGATATGTCAGTGCAGGTCCTGTCTTGGCATGATTTGCTACAGAATTTGAAAAATAAGTAAAAGTGCCTATAATCACTGGGTCAGTGCCTATAATCACTATCCTATCACTTGGATAGTATTCTGGTAGCTTCTCTGCTGCAGTCATTCTGTTCTTCAAGTAAAAGCTTCAAATAAAATCAGTAAATAATCGCCTAGATATGTGTATATTACTGATAAAGTGGTTCTCACTCTTTCTGACTGCCTAATAAGTGCTTGGACATAGTAGGTGGAGCACAGCAATTACATGGGAAAACTCGAATATGGAGAATCTAAAAATACTAATCAGGAAAAGATTGAAAAAGTAAGAAAAGGAATAGGTCATGTGGAAGGATTTGTGTGTGTGTGTGTGTGTGTGTGTGTGTGTGTATGTTGACTGAGGATATCATAGAATCACAAAATCATAAGGAATGGTTTAAGTTGGAAGGGGCCTTAAAGATCACCTAATTCCACTCTCTCTGCCATGGACAGAGGTAGCTTTCTCTAGGACAGGTTGCTCAGAGCCCCATCAAGCCATGATCCAAAAAGTTTTGAAGTTTAAGAACTCCTGAGGAAATATCTTGGTACATAAAATTCAGTAGCGGTTTAGCCGCCTCATTCCCAAGCAACATACAAAATTAAGTCCTTGTTTGCAAAAGCAAGACCCAAAAAAATAGCAGTTCAAGGAATCATTAGAGGAATTACAGGTAAGCAATGAGTTAAAGTGATACCAGCTGTGTTGGCAATATGACTGAAATTGCATAGAATTAAATGAAACTTATTCAGACATTTAAAATGAAGATGAGATAATATGGAGCCCTGATTTTGGACAGAAATTACTCTGAGGTGATGGATGCATGGTATAATTATAATGTTAAGTAAAATAAAATGTAAATTACTCTATCTTTTCTTCTTTTTATAGTTCTAAAACAGATCCTGTTACTGGAGCTGTGAAAAATACCAAATACCATCAACTTTAGTAAGCACTGCAAAAGTAACTTTGCTTGGTGACATAAGCCTGCAGCATAAGTGTGTGAGCACACACCTGCATGTATGTGTGTATATGTGCATGCACATGTATATTTCTTTTTGTTTTTTTTCCCAAAAAGGTTTTTTCTTTCCATGGAGTTGATTGGGGAGGAGAATGAATAAGAAGCAGATTTCTTAATCAGACTTTTCTTCTTCACTTGCATGTGACTTTTCTGGTTTTACTACACATTTGTAAAATACTGAAATCTTTGGCACTCCTCAGCTTAATTGATTTTTCATAGGAAAGCATTTAACTGTGCTGTAGCCATGGCACAAGTACACAGCACTCCAGGCATTTCTGTAATGGAATTTCCTTATGTGTTGTTTGCAGTGACTTGCTGGGTTTGGTTACTTACCTGGACTGGGTCATGATCATTGTTACTATATGCTCCTGTATTTCCATGATGTTCGAATCCCCTTTTAGAAGAGTTATGCATGCTCCAACGCTCCAGGTACTGCCACTGAATCATTTTACAGTTAACGAAGCACAGTCACCTCGGTTCTCTCCACTACCTATTCCTAAATTATGACTGTTTTCTGCTTTGCTTTTCAGATTGCTGAATATGTTTTTGTAATATTCATGAGCATTGAGCTTAATCTGAAGATTATGGCAGATGGCTTGTTTTTTACACCAACAGCTGTCATTAGGGACTTTGGAGGCGTTATGGACATATTTATATATCTTGTAAGTTTTTATGTTTATGGGAGGTTTTCGTAGCATCCTTAATTTTGATATCATTGGTTATTTAAATGTTCAGCAGTATGAAAAAGTTTGGCTCTGCACCCTGATGCAATTCAATAGTATAATTTCTGTTCAGATACTGTTTTCATGTGCATTCCTGTCGGTTATGTGTAGAAATACTTGTTTAGACGTCTAAAAATACGCTGATGCGATAAGCACCTGGCAATTTAGTGTAGGGTCGTTGTATGGTCCCTTTTAATTATTTATTTGTTAACATGCTTTAAGTATCAGATCTGACTTAATTTCAAAGCAAACTCAGGATCTCTGACCTCGCTTCAGCATTCTTATGCAGGAGAATCTTTATTTTACCTGTTTCATAGATACTCTTTGCTTCTTTCATTCGCCACAGTATTCCTGCCTTATAGAAGGTGTTTTTAAACCTTTACTGTCTGATGACAGGTGCATCCTTGTTGCTGATGTTGCTGTAGTAGAAAGCAAAACAACATCTTTCTCTATCCTAAACCTATCAGTAGTGGTTCTCAGGAAAAAAAAAAAAACTTACGCTACTGTTTCCTTTGTACCTGGGAAATTTCTTGCATTCCATTCAAATACAGGAGAAGGGTGTCCATTTCCTCTTCACATATGACAGTAAACACCACAAAATGTGTCAAAACCAGTGCCCAGTATAATACAGTATGAAATAGCTTTATTTGTGTTTGGGCACTAGAACAGGCTCCTCAGGTAAGTGGTCAAAGCACAAAGCCTGAAGGAGTTCAAGAAGCATTTGGACGATACTCTTGGGCACATGGTGTGACTCTTGGGGATGGTCCTGTGCAGGGCTAAGGGCTGGACTCGATGATCCTTGTGGGTCCCTTCCAACTTAGCATATTCTGTTATTCTGTTATTTAGTAACTGAAGAAATTACTGAGAAAAATGGCTTTGATGGATTTAGATTAAATCTTTCAGAGATAAATCCACCAGGCAGATGTGCTGCATAAAATTTGTCGTGATCAATTTGTATCTAAAAGTTTCCATTGTTAGCATAAATAAAAATATGCATACTTGTACAAAACTCCTACTGTAGTATGCATAATTCCTGTGTGCATTAGTTTCTTCAATCTCTCTGAATTCCTCTGCTTGTCTGAAGGAAAATTTAGGTGGTGTAGTTTGGATATTCCAAATGTGCCTGTGGTGGTCTTAAAAGAATATGAAATAAAGTCTGAAGCACTAGAAAATCATTTTGTTTTGGTGGAGCAGCTGTCTTTTGTCACTGTTGCTTTAACAATTTATATTATGTTTTAAATCATATTGGTGATACCAGCTTGATCCTCCGTTTTTTGTGCCCTTACTTCATTGTAACCCTCTCACCTCTTTCCCCCTATAATAACACTGGTTTTTAAAAAATTAGAATTAACAGACTTTAAATCAATAAATTGACAATGTTTTCAAATATATAACATTTATGTGATGAGACCATGTAGTGACAAAACTGTAACAAAGTGGAAGGAAAAACTGTCAAGAAAACTGTTAACAGAGTTCCCGGTGAGGATTTCTTAGATTCAGGATAGAATCTCTGAAATGAAAAGGGAGTAGAGAAATAATGCCACCTGCTCCAAGAATGTAGTTTGTGACCTTATTCTGAATCAGCCAAATTGATTTCTTCTTTTGGAACAGTTCCATCTGCTGAAAAGTATCAAGTAGATTCTGAGGCAAAGGGGAAGACAGAGGCTGAAGCTGATGCCCGTTAGTTAGGACAATAAGCCAGAATGCAAGAGGTCTAAGTCCATTTTCTAATTTAAGTGCTTTTTTGCCTAATCATTTCCTTTAATTCTAAGGAAGTATTCGTTGATCTTCTGTGCTGTGCCTGTGTCAAGTAAGGCATTGTAAACTTAATCTTTCTTTGCCCTTTCCTGCCCTGTCATCTCCAGGTGAGTTTGATATTCCTGTGCTGGATGCCTCAGAATGTCCCTGCCAAATCTGGAGCTCAGCTCTTAATGGTACTCCGCTGCCTCCGACCTCTTCGAATTTTCAAACTGGTCCCTCAGATGAGAAAAGTGGTGCGAGAGCTGTTTAGTGGCTTTAAGGAAATTTTTTTGGTATGTGTCAATTATTTTTTTTTTTGTTCTTGTTAAAATATATGAAGGAGTACTAAGATAACACTTTGCTATAACATGTATGTTTTCTATTCTTTTCAGCATTGTTGTCTGTTTACTTTCCACTGTGGCTATCACTGGAGATAACACAGAACAGGTTAAAAATGGGGAATATAAGTAACTCATATTTATACTGAATAAAGCTGCTTTAATAATTCTTTTATAAATTTTATTAATTCAGCATGCATTTCACTGGTTACATAGGAGGACTACTGAAAAAAAAAATCTACCCCTTCTTTACAGTTCAAGTTGGGCAAGGAAGATAGGAAGTAGCGTGTGGCAGCTCTGCAAGAAAAAAAGTAAACCTGGTTTCTGAGCTGAAGGTCTCTACCCTCAAGTTTTCTGAGAGGCAACCAGAGATGATACAGCTGTTTATCACAGATCTGGATCTCATTTTTATGTTATTACTATGATCATAATTATGCACTATAGTAATAATAACAGTAGCGGAGTCTGGGATTGCTTGATCAGAAGAACCTAATCTATTGTCGAGGCCCTATGTGATATTTGTCAGCCTGAACAGATACTTCATTCCTTAACAGGATGCTGTATTAGGTCATGTTGATGTAAAAGGCTAAGCTACAAAACATTTGCAGACAATAATAGAACAAGAACAAAAAATATACAGCTAGTTAATATTTCATTGATACAGTATTCTGTTAAAGATATTTACATCATAATTTACTCATCCATATCTTTATTGTAGCTATCCTGGATAAATATCTAACAATGTCTTATCGGATTAATTAGTAAAGCCTGATTCAGAAAAACAGAAGGAGCACATATTTAAGTACTTGAAAAGTTCTCTTTAAAGTGAATGGTAATTCTTATGCATACAGAATTTAGCAAGGTGGTACACAGTGCAAGAAAGCTTTGATCCTTATCTGCTATTTTTAGATCCTGTGTTAATAATAAGACTAATACTAACACAGCACCTGGTTACTGCATCAGAACCTAAAGTAACATACCTGCCATGAAAGCCATATCTCCAGGTTTATGCCACAAAACTATCCTACCTGCAGTTCACCAAAGGAGCTGATCCCCTTTTTCAAATCTGTAGGAGTAGAGCTTAACACACCTAACTTTTTCTTTACAGGTTTCTATTCTTTTGCTGACTTTAATGCTTGTTTTTGCAAGCTTTGGAGTGCAGCTATTTGCTGGAAAACTGGCTAAATGCAATGATCCTCACATCATCTCTAGGGTAAGAACTGCTTTTCTGCTTCAAAATATTGGTATGTTGTGCAATTTCTGCCTGCTGGGGAAAGCAAGTGAGGAAATCAGAGCTGTTGTGTGAGAAATGGAGATCTTGGGCACTTTCTAGTTCAGAAGCAGGATGATGGAGGGAGAGGTGTAAAAAGGATTATGCAAATGAGGATAAGGATGTGTTTTCATTAAAAAAGTAAAGCAGGTCCAAATATTGTGGACTATCTTTAAAAAAGTTGTCAAATCAACGCCATTATTATCTGCAAAGGACTGGATGGCACATGGAATTAACCATGGAAAATTGCACATTTGCATTCCTAGGTCCACAACTAAGAAACAGGTTAGACTCCTAGAGGTTCAGAGCACTAGGAATGCTATGTGGATTACATGGAGAAAGTTATCCGTGTTTCCTACTCCATTTGGAGAAATATCATCATCACCTGAACAGACCAATGGTTTTTAGGAAAGAGGTGAAAGGCTGCATAATCTTGCAAATTGAAAAGCAGAGTCAGTCCTGGGAGAAAAAGAGTATTTTGAATCCTTACCAAGACGCATTTTTCATTTAAATAAAGGTCCATGACTATGAATCACAGACCTATAAATAACCCTTCATTTATCTTTACATTGCTTTCCCATCATGGGAAATGTCCTATTTATGATGGCATGGTGGCATCTCTCACGGGCATTTCTTTAATCTCAGGCTTTGGTTTATTTCACTATAGGAAGATTGTCATGGCATCTTCAGAATAAATGTAAGTGTTTCCAAAAATCTCAATTTAAAGTTAAGACCTGGAGAGAAAAAGCCTGGATTTTGGGTGCCACGAGTTTGGTGAGTTGCTACACATTGACCTTTTTTTCTTACAAAATGCAGCTGTTGATGTAGAAAAATGCTCAAATCTCATGCTATTGAACTACTGGTGGAGGGGTTTTATTGTAATTTAAATGATATTAAGGGTAAAAATTGTTTAGTAAAAAGCTTTATATATGAAACTTTTCTGGACTTAACCTTAACTTCATAAACCAGAAAGGTAAAAAATCCCTGTAGGTACTAAACCTATGGGAATTCCTATAGGAATTAGATTTGATTTGGTTATTATTACAATGGGAGTTACTTTCTCAAAGGAGGTTTATCATTTAATTGTGAGAGCTATACAGCAACAACAGAGCCTAAGAATAAACAGGAAAAGATGGAAGAAAAAGAAATCAACCTTTCTACAACTACCCATAAAAATGAATGAGCAAGTCATGTCTAAAACCAGACTTTCTCTTCTATGGCCATCAACTGTGCCAGGTAGCAGCTTCTTTCTTTTTCCAATTCAGGGAAAATCTACGTGGTCTATCTATGGCAGAAATGTAGTCAAAATTATTTAAAAGCTAACATATGTTTTTGATTAGTATTCTGATAAAGTTCATTTAATATTTCCCAACACCTGAACAGGCAAAACACCCTCTTTTTAATTTTTTTATATTTTTTACTTGCTTGGCATTTTGCAAAATCATCTTAACAACCACAATTATTTTAATTGGCCATGTGTGTGGATAAAGAATGTACCAGCAGTGGTGGTTTCAGAGCCACCCTACACTAATGAAATAATACGCTGTGATTTGAGCAGTCAGTGAAACTCTGACATCTGCAGAAGTCTTTGTTTCTGTATGCTTCAGACAAATTCTTCCTCGAGTAAGCAAATTCAATCCTGTTCAGCTTGATCCAGAAATAAGCAAAAGCTGACTTAATCAGCATAACTGTAAACTTTGGGGAATATTGCAGAAAAATGTTTTACCACAAGGACATTTATACCACCTGTTGGTTGTGTCACGCCAGATTTTTCAAGAGCCAGATGACAGTATAAGGGCTGCATTAAAATGAAATATCTGCATCTGAGAGCTCCCTTTTCACTGAGCGATTGGATTTAAGAGGCACCAAACACTTAGTGACTCTTCTGGAATACAACTATTTACCTTATAGTCTGTTGAAAAGTTATTGTGCTCCTTGGATTATCTGTCTTGGATTGTAGAAACAGAGGACCGTGCAAACCTGGCCCAAAGAGGGTACTTTTAACATTCAGCTGCATTCTTTTGAATCTGAACTGATAAAAAAAGATCAGAGCATATGGTATAGGTAAGCCAAGAAGATCTGATGTCTTCTCAGTAAGTTTGCTTGAGGCTGTCAGTTCCTGATCGTAATGTAACTGGGAACCATGTTCTTTAAACAATCTTGCTGACTTCGGAGTCCAAATTTTCTATGTGTGTTAGAGAATGATCTCCTACAGGTAAATTTATTTTAGAATCTGGCCAATGCCATCAGATCTATTTTTTTGTGAATGCTCTATTTTTCTAATTTCAATGGCAAAACCACTAAAATGCAGCAACATACTGTCATAGAATGGTTTGGGTTGGAAGGGACCCTAAAGATCCTCTCTTTCCAACCCCCTTACCATGGACAGGAACACCTTCCACTACACCAGGTTGCTTAAAGCCCCATTCAACCTGAACTTTGAACATATTTTATCAACAGCTTTATTACTGTGAATCAGACTCTGAGTAAGAAAATAAACCATACATAGGGATCTAAAATATTATGCTTTAAATATTTATTGCTGTTGCTACCGTTTTCTTATTCTTGGTATGGAACTTTGATATATTGCAGAAGCTTTCACACACACACCTTTGCAGGGTATTTAAATGTTAGACTATGAAGAATCAAGGTATCAAATAAAACAACTTTTTTGCTGAAGTTACGCCTATTTGTGTACTGCATTTCAGGGCCAATCCTCGGAATTTTAATTTTGACAATGTGGGCAATGCAATGCTGGCACTATTCGAAGTTCTATCATTAAAAGGCTGGGTGGAAGTCAGAGATGTTATTATTCATCGAGTTGGGCCGGTAAGGAAACACATCAAAGTCTTTGAATTCTACAACGCATAAAATTGATTTGTCTTAACTATTAATCTTATTTTTTTCTATTCAGATCCATGGAATCTACATTCATGTTTTTGTATTTCTTGGCTGCATGATTGGACTGACCCTTTTTGTTGGAGTTGTCATCGCTAATTTTAATGAAAACAAGGTACTGAGTGAGGTGGCTTATTCTGAGTGAGGCATTTTACTGAGTAGAACTGACTCTGTAAGAAAACTGAAACTGATGCTACACTACCTGGTAAGGCTACCTGTACGACTGGCACACCAATCTTGCATTCTGCAAGACTGCAAGTCTTCAGATACACCTGATCCATATTTGCTACAAAACTGAAACCTGATGATAGCAATCCATCACACACTCTATCAAAGCTGTCTGAGTTTATATATTGTGCAGCCATGCTGCTAGATGGAGACTGAACCTAAAGCACAATGTATTTACAGATGCTGCTGGTTTAGTTTGATGCAGGCATACATGCGGGGGCAGATAAAAAGATGTGTTATACTTGTATGTGTTGCAGCTCAGAGGTCTCATTAGAGCCCTCCCATTGCAGTATTTCATGTCCAGAGCAAAGCTATGTGACTTTTTTCTGGCAGAGAACATTGTAAAAATAATTGTCCATCACTTAAACAGAAAGGTATCTAGCTTTCTAGAGAAGTTCATATGAGCTTTTTGGATTACCCTGAGAAATAGAAAAACATGTCCCCAGGGGAACTGTTGCAGAGCAGCTCATGTCTGCACTTGTTAAAGGTAGAATACTCTAGATGGATTTGCTGCATGCGCACTGCACAATGCTTAATCTGAGGGGGTTTTCTGAGCCTCTTGTGGTGCCCTTGAGGCACTGAGATATTAATATTAATTTTTTTCATCTTTTGATTCAAAGTCACAAAAATAATGAGATAAAATATTTTTATCACTCATGGCACTGGAGAGAAAGGATGATTGCACACTCTGGGGTGTGAAGATGTGCAACAACCCAATGTGCTGTTTGCTGGCTACGGCCCTAACTGGCAGTTTCTGAGCAGCAAAGCAACTTGGCACCATTATTTCCTGATTTTACAGGAGTCCACTCTTTTTTGCCACCTTTTGGCTTGTTTGCAGTGAAGGCTCTCCAAGAATATAAACCAGACATGCTCATTGGGGTGAATGATTCTGTTTTAATTTAAGTGTTTATAAATTGTACGATTTGGGCCTGACACAAGCAGTCAGCATCCTTACCTCTATTGCTTTTTCTGGATTGTGTTGGAAGGCACCTCTTCCCAGGGTGCTGTCTGGGAACACAGTTCCATAAAGAGATTATGTCCACTAAGAGGCAGGAATCCTGACCTTATCAGTTGCACAGCCAGCCTCAGTTCAAGCATCTAAACAAGCCAATTCCCAGGTGAGCCCCAAAATCACCCCAGTCATCACCCAGCTCAATGCAGCTCCTTTCTAGCAGGGAGAGCAGCCAAGTATCTGGGAGACAGCCTTTTGACATTTACCTTGAAAAGGTCTCTCTTGTTTTTGTTAGTCTGGAATCTTTCCATGAGTTTTTACAGTTCTCTGAAGTGATAAGGAACTCACTTTGCTTTGAAGGTCATTTTAGATAACACTGAATTCCATTTGGAGTTTGCTTATTTCTCCCTTTGTTATGAGAACACTTACACACATTACCAGCTACCACCACCCCACCCTAAGGGTGTGTCTCCACCTCTCTTTGTGCTTCGTCCCTGGAGAGCTCTTATAGATTCATAGCATACTATTATTTTATTTCAATTACACTCCAAGCAGAAGAGCTGTGGAAAGCAGCAGTGGTCTCCTGGAGGGCTTGTTCCCTGAGAAACTGTAGCGGCACTGACGAGCCACAGGATTTTTCTGCTGCAAAGTCCAGACAAAATCGACCAGTCTTTAAAACAGTGCTTCCTGGCAAATGATGTTCAGTCAAATGGAAGACCTCCTGCAGGGTTTCATTGCCCACACTGGGCTGCTGCTACAAAGAACAACGGTGCCTGCTGAGTTGAGTTCCGGAAACTCACAGCTAATGCATCCAGAAATCCTCTTGAGTAACAGCTGATACTTCAGACTCCTTTACACAAACACTGTGTTATTTAAGGAAAGTTGCATATGTAACTTTATTTCAGGCACCAAAGAGAATGTTGTTTTCATGTTACGGTGTTGAATGTTTTAGCTGTTAAATGACAAAAGCTTTATACGCTTCTCTTTGTTTATTAAGGGGACAGCTTTACTGACTGTAGATCAGAGACGATGGGAAGATTTGAAAAGCAGACTGAAGATAGCGCAACCTCTTCATCTCCCACCTCGTCCGGGTATCAAAGATATTTTGATTTTATACATGTTAAGCCCTAGTGTTCATAATTCCCCAGGAGTCTGCGATTCAAATTAAAATTGTAATCGTGAGGCCACTAGGAGGCTGTGCATAAGTTAATGTGGAAACAGGCTCCAACTACAGATCTCTCCATAAGGCTATTAAAATCAACCCAAAAAAGGTTGTGCTTCGATGGCTTTAGGATAAGCCTTAATGATAAAATGAATTTCTAAATGAAAAAATATTTGCAGTTGGCTGTAGTGATATGAGTGGTATGTATTAACCTGACAACAGTTGAATGATGCACTTACACTAAAAGTACCAAAGCCTTCATGCAACACTGGTGTTCAGTATTTGAAATTAGATGTTCAGAAACCCTATTTGATATGGAAAATTGTAGCAGAAAATTAAAAATATATTTTGAAACTGGTAAAGGATTATTTTGCTACTAATGAACATGGAAAATATGTTCAAAAGTAAAAGAAAAATGCCATTGTGTATTTTAACTCTTCTCCTTGAACTCTTTTCTTTTTCTTTGCAGATAACGATGGCTTTAGAGCTAAGATGTATGATATAACTCAGCATCCATTTTTTAAGAGAACTATTGCTGTACTTGTTCTGGCACAGTCTGTGTTGTTATCAGTTAAGGTAATTGAGATTTTTTTAAGCATTTCATTATAGTAGTACAGCATGTGTTCCACATTTCCTAACACCAGTTAACTATCAATTGAGCCATTACTGTGATGAATGTAAAGAAACATGATTTCTAGATACGACAATCTCAGTTGGGGCAGATCACTGTAGATTAATTGTAACTTTTAGAGCTGAGTCAATTTATGCCTTTTTGTGGTCTGTTCCACTATTTTTAATTTCTAGTTAGACCGTAAATCTATGAGAGAAGAGTACACCAAGATACCATTCCTGTCTCATTTTAAAGTGAAATCTATTCATTAACAAAACCTTCAAGAAAAGTTAAGGTAATGAAGAGGCATTTCTTCTATTTAATAGCTACTCTTCTATGAATGGATTTTATTTGCATTTCAGTGGGATGCTGCAGATCCAGTGACTGTACCTTTAGCAACAATGTCTGTTGTTTTCACCTTCATTTTTGTCCTCGAGGTAAAGTAATACATTTTGAGACTTCTTGAGATTAAGACTTGTATGTACATATTTCATTTTGTCTTTAGGAATGCTGTCTCATTCTTCATTACGGTGTTTATTTCTGAACTTAAACATTTGGGGTTCCCCATGTCACTTGTCTTTAAACATGTATTGTAAGAAGAAACTTTTAATTTATTACCATCATACTTCTCTACAACCTTGAGCTTTGTGTCTTTTTATATATATTCAAGTCTGAGCATTTAAAAGTGTGTTTTGGTGAACTCAGTGAACTCTTTTCTTGCAGAACATCTCAGATTAAATTCCCTCCACATAACACAGGGTCTGTGTTGTTTCATGGAAGTTCTGCTTGATCCATTGCCATTTTGTCTGGTGCATTAATCGCCACTATTCTGTATCTGTGACATCATCAAACCTCTCTCACTTTGGTTTGGTTTGGTTTAAGTATCATACTTCATTTTAATACCTTTAAATAAGCTATGTCCATATTGTCTAGCTTTTGTGGACAGATCTGGCTCCTGTGGGGTAGCAGTTCTCTTTCTATGAGAATATTGCTATTACAAACAACTGTGCAAGGTGTCTTTAGCCTATTTGCATAAGACTAGAATCTAATCATTTAGCCCCAGTTTGAAATGTATATATTTTTTAATGTATAAGGATATCCATAGTGTAACAAAGCACACATTAAAGAAGAGGCTTCCCCTGTGGTTAGGTTAGTACATAATTCTTTACAACTTTGTGGTTGACTACTTTTCTTGTCAGTCCCTTCTGAATAGCTGATACTGACCACTATCAGAAACAGGATAGTAGACTATGTTTCCCACTGCTCTAATCCAATATGACAGTTCCTATGTTCCATTGATAGGTTTTGCCAGCAGTGATGAATAAACAGTGAAGTGATTAGCTTGTATACTCTAGCTGTACCTAGAGTATGGCCATGTTGTTGATTTTTTTTTTTTCCCTACCAGGAGAAATCAGTGTCTCTGTAGAGACTGAGCAACCCAGAAAAGTTTTGTGTCATATGCAGACAGGTTTTAATTTACCTAGTAACAGTAACTGTGTCTTTGGAAATGCTCTTCTCTTATACTATCAGGGGAAACAAACACACTTCTAGAATTTCGAAGGAACTTTGTCAGAGCCAAGAAAAATTTGTTGGTTGTCCCAACAGGCAAGCTATCACACTGTGAGTGCACACAATTTATGGAAAAAAAGCAGCTTCCTGCCCAGGATCTTCCATAAGGCAGCATAGTCTCATTACAGAATCTGCTATGTACATGGTCTGCTACCACTAGCAGGCATGATCCATGAGGAATTCCAAAGCCTTCTGCGTAGACAACAGCCCTATGTCCAATCTAACGACTCCTGATTCAGTCTTAAATGTCTACTGCTCACATCAGTATATGTGGTATAGAAGAACAGGAAGAATTTGAAGATCTCACTGATGATGAAAAAATAAAGGGAGATGTGAGGGTTTTTGTTTGCATGGTGTGGTATTCAGTTCAAGATTGTAGGTACCTGAGTTTAAGTGCTTAAATTTTATATTCAAGGTAGGTGTTTAAGCTGTAACTGTGATCAAGGAAGGTGAAGGGTGAGATTCAGTTACCTCCACTAGCCACTGCAGAAGGATAGGGATGTTTACAGGTCTTCTGTCATCCCTTCCAGCCCCCTGCATCTCTCTCCAATTCTCTAGGGCACCTCAGCTAACTGGGTAGAAGGAGGCAAGATATTTTCAGATACCTCAAATGATAATTAGAAATTCAGAGACCATATTGTTCATTCTGTAGTCAGGCTTCAGAAAATATTATAAGGCAAAAAACTATCTGGAAAGTCAGCCTTTTACCTCAACATTATATATGGTTTAGGTTTCAAAAATATTAAATGGCAGGGTTGCAAGGTGGAATGGAAAAATAATGTAATGAATGCCTGACATTTATAGCCTTTATTTAGTAGCTCTTAACTTGCTTTGAGGTTTTATACGAATTGTGTATGAGAAGATCTCTGGTGTTCCCTCTACATACATCACCTTACATCAGTATCTGTTAGCTGTTGTATCTGTTTCTCATTAGTATCTATTCTTGAGCTTCCTGTCACTTTTCCTATTACCTGTATTGGAAATGTCAAGGACTTTGTCAAGTACAGCTGTCTTTTACCAGGTACATTGCAAACTGTACTGCCTTTGCTGTTCTTAGCTTTCTTCTCTTACGTGCTTCTGAGTACAGATGTTGCTGAGTACAGAGTAGTTCTTAAAGCAAGAAAAATATGTAATATGGGAAAGCTTTTTAATTGATTTGAACTCTAAGTGCCACAGAACAAAAGTGTATTCCCGAATTCAAATGTGCTTTTGTGATTTTAGCCTGCTTACAGACAGATAGCTATCCAGGATACTACTACTTCTTTTAACTACGTGCTATTGGCATAATCACTTCATAATTTCATGACTTGCTTAACTTTAAGAAATCTTAAGCCCACATTCACCTCAGTAATCTATACGTTAGGCATTCAGTCTGAGGTGGTCAGCTGCACTCCTGTCTTCAGTACTTAATGGAGACAGAGAGATACTGTTCATCCATTGGTCTTGGTCATCTGTGGTCTTCCATCAGTTTTCCTTCACCTAAGGGAAGCTCATATTATCTGGTTAGTCCACATGAGAACATTTAGCTGATATGAAACTTTGGTTTTTGAAGCTATTTGATAAGGTGAACTCAATCAAACATTTTAGAGAATGGAAGAAGAATCTTATGGCAAGAAATAACCACTTCTTCATTACAAGTTTTAGGGTTTTTTTATCCTTAGGTCACAATGAAGATTATTGCCATGTCACCTTCTGGCTTCTGGCAAAGCAGAAGAAATCGGTATGACCTCCTGGTGACATCTCTTGGAGTTATATGGGTGATACTTCACTTTGCCTTACTGGTAAGATTTACAGAATGAAATTGCAGTGATTAAAGTGATTTCATCTGTTAAGCACCAGCAGTAGAATTGCTGCTACACATTGAGATAAACCCTCAGGAATTCAATAAGGCTGAAATATGGCTGAAGAACATTAGGCTCGATGCTAAGAAGGAATCATTGTCTTGGACGATGATGCAGTGCAAAGGTTGTCTTACTGATATGAGTTAGAGTCTGTAGATGTGGTAGAAAGCAAGTCTTTAGGGGTAATGTGACTGAGAAAAGGAAGGAGACTGAAGAGACTGAGAGCTCTTGCCAACAACAGTCTCATGAGCAAAGAAGGAAGAAAGAGGCAATGCACAGAATGCAAATGGGAGCAAAGGACTGGAAGAAGTCATAGGTTCGAAATTGCTGAACAATACAGACTGTCCCAAACCCACCTGTACCACTCGTTTTGGTTAAGGGGGGAAGAAGGCATGGAGGAGAGGGGAAGAAATCAGTTCTCTCTCCATCCCACACCAGTTTTCCAAATTTAAATGCACTCCTAGTTGTTTTATTTACAAGGGAAGGAGAAGGGATGGTTGATACTTGTCATCGATCACAAGTTGTCAGTCACGACCCTGTAATGGCTGTGGGATTCCCTCTTGTCTGCCCCAAGCTCGGTTTGAAAGAAAATCTGTCTTGTGTAACAAGTCATTTTTTCCTGACATTCACAGTTTGGCCCCTGCTGCTAAGTAGCTTGGAAGGCCTGAGGAGTTTCTATAATCCAGTGGCTGCCTAGACAAGTAGACTGGGCCTGATGGACATAATTAATAGAGGATTGAAGGTTTTTTGGTTTGATGTGTGGAGAGGTTGGGTTTGAGTTTTTTTATATTGTTGCAACTAGTTTATGACTTCTCTTATTTTATATGAGGATTGCCCTATATCACTAAAAGATGAATTGTCATGACCTTTCCAAGAGATCCCTGGGAGACAATGTATTAAGTCTTCTGTGTTTGTGTTCCAGAATGCGTACACATACATGATGGGGGCATGTGTAATTGTCTTCAGGTTTTTCTCAATTTGTGGAAAGCACGTAAGTATATTAATTAGGAACTGCAACTGTTGAAGTGCTCATGTATAGGTTAAAGGACCAGATGCTATGCATCTCTAATACAAGATCTATAAGGCTCCATTTTGTAGACAAGGAAAAAAAAGTAGACTTCAAGCAGCCGTCTCCAACTTTACACACTGTCTTTAAAATGTCAGGATTTTAGGTATATTGTATAATAGTGCTCTATTATGGTTACTGTAAAAGTTGCATTTTTTTCAGAAAACAAAGTGCAACTGCAATACCACAGTTTTAAAAATGCTTTCTGCAACTCTGAACATACAGTGTGCTACTTTCAGCCCTTGCCATTTCAGTACAGTGTGATGTGCGTGCTATTTATTTATTTTTACTGCAAGACTACAGTAGTGGTGGTTGATGCATTCATCTTATAATGATAGTGCTCTTTTACAGAAGTCAGGTCTGTGTCTTTTGTCTCTACAATGTATGTCTTAAAAATAATATGTCTTATAAAGGACTTAATGGTCAATTTTAAAACAATATTGGGCCAAGATGTTCTTCTGGGTGACAAAGGAAGTCACTTCTAAAGTTTACATTTATTTTGTGTTTGGATTTTCTCTGGTGTAATTGAGAGTAGACAGGCAGACTAAGCATAGACAGAGAACAAACACATTTATTTAACAAGTGGTGACACTGCACTCCCTTGCTGTGGAAATTCTTACACTATCCAAATATCTTCTATGAAGTCTGACATATTAAAGTAAATGTGATGAAAAGACTGCTGTACTAGGTTTCTGGGGTTAAGAACAGTAAGTCAAAGGGTTTGTTCAGTAGGGGGAAAAAGTTTTCTTTCAAACTACACAGAGCCTGAAAAACCTTGGAAGTCAAATGAAAAACCCTTGCTTCTCTTATGCATCCAGACCAAGCGATTGCCTTCAAAGGTTTCAGATTGATTGTAAAGTTTTTTTCAAGGTTTTAACCTAACCATTTGTGCTTTCATGTTGGGAGCTGTGTAAGTTTCACTAATTTACCTGTTCCATTGCAATGTGATGACTAAAGGTCAGCATGAATTTGACTCGATCATAAAGAAAACTGATACCCTCAGTCCTATTAAAGGGAATTTTCCATCACATCCAAAGCATTTAAGGGTGTAGGGACAATCTAGGGCAATAACTTTTTCAAGAGTAAAATGTACAATATACATGCATGAGAAAGTAACAGCTATAATCTAGGCCTATGGCCTATGTAATTTCCAAAATTATGCTCTCATCTTAAGCTCTTTGGCCATCTTCACAGAATCATAGACTCACAGAATGCTTTGAGTTGGAAAGGACCTTAAATATCAGCTAGTTTCCAGCCCTCTGCCATGGGCAGGGACAGCTTCCACTAGATGAGGTTACTCAAAGCCCCACCCAACCTGGCCTTGAACACTTCCAGGGCTGGGGCATTCACAGATTTTTAGGGCAACTTGTTGCAGTGCCTCACTGCTTTCACAGTAAATAATTTCTACCTAACATCTAGTCTAAACCGTCCCTCTTTCAGTTTAAAGCCATTTGCCCTTGTCCTGTCTCTTCATGCCCTTGTAAAAAGTCCATCTCCAGCTCTTTTGATGGCCTTCTTTAGGTACTGGAAGGCTGCTAGAAGGTTTCCCTGGTCTCTCACAAACTTGTATGAGAAATTAATAGTTTAATTAAGCTGCACTGATCTTAAGGAAATCCCCTTCTCTATACATCAACCCCTTCCCTTAAGTAGGCTGCAATATCTGTAGTTTCTGTCTAACAGTTAGGATCACTTTCAGGTAAGCTCAGAGTAGTCTACGGCACCACTGGTCATGCAATGCTAATTCTGATACTTCAGGAGTATGCTGATCCTAGAATATTATAGTTAAGCTTACACTGTATTACCACTATTATCCTAAGCTGTATTACCTTATATATACTTTTTGAAGAGCCACATCTTGACCTTGTAAATGAACAAGATGTCTATAACAAGTAAAAATCACACACGCTTCAAATCAGATTTATAACATACTTTTTTACTGGGCTCATATGTGTGTAAAGAATTTGTTGTCAAAATGGCAAGTACAAGAACTGTCTTTTCTTTCTTCTTTGCTTTCCTGAATGGTATCAGAAATTGTTTTTTCTCTGTCCTTCCAGGTGACATTAAAAATGTTGCTCCTGACTGTGGTTGTCAGCATGTACAAGAGTTTCTTCATCATAGTGGGAATGTTCTTACTGCTTCTTTGTTATGCTTTTGCTGGAGTGGTTTTATTTGGTACAGTGAAATATGGAGAGAACATTAACAGGTACAGAATGTACTTCCTACCTAGTGGGGATGTTCTTTAAACAGCCTGAAGAAATCACATTCTGCTAGAGAGACGTTTATCCATGGTAAAAACAGACAAATCTCCAGGTGTAGCTGAATAGTTCTAAACAGAATTCCTGATAGGAGACATCCTATTCTGGCACTGAGCCATCTTTCCAGTCCTTGTGCATTGGCCCAAATGACACCTGATCCAAGCCAGAGCAGACTGAGAGCTGTTCCTCATTATGCCAGCTGGAATATGCTTCAAAGCAGCACTGTGCTAGCCTGCAAGCTGCTGAAACATGATGTACCTACTACATCTTGTTGGAATCACCCAGGAACAGGATCCATATACCAGGCTGATCCAGAGAGGAGACAGTTCTTTGAACTGGCTGTTAACTGGAGATTTCCCAGTCATCATCAAGCTTTCAGAAGAAAATGGAGACAGGAAATAGGATCTGGCCTTGAATTTGCTTTAGCTCTAATAAAATGTGCTAAAATACTCAGACCTGTGTCTGAGCTAAGAGTTCAGTTATTATATCTTAAGTCATGAAATAAATAATTCAGTGAGCTCATTCAAATGATATAATTATTTTTAGTTTAAAATAGTAGAACAGTAGAAACCGGAAACATTTTTTCTTGCCAATGTTTTATTTCTGGGAAGTGAAACAATCTCTCTCTCTCTTTTTCTTTAAAACAGACATGCAAATTTTTCATCAGCTGGCAAGGCTATTACTGTACTCTTCAGAATAGTTACTGGAGAAGACTGGAACAAAATTATGCATGACTGCATGGTAATTACAATGCTGCCAGAGATAAAGTAGACAAGAAATTAGATACACCCTTCCATCTCAAACTGCTTTCACTATCTTAGCTTTGTACAAGGAATATTGTGATTGCCTTTATCTCTTCAAGAGATATAATGTTCACTAAACCTCAGAACATGACACACACATTGCAGCTCCAATCCCATTACTCACAGTGTAGTATTTCATGGAGCTAGGCTATTAGATGGTCTAAAAACAAAAATGAAACAATTGTTTCAAAATCGGAAGTGCAATAGCTTACTTTTTCATTCTTATCTCTTTGACTGGAGCAAGGTGTCTTTTCAGATTAACTTTTTCTTTAATGCCTGCACTTAGGTTCATTCCTCAGAATTAATCCTCGAATCATTATATTTTGACCAAGTAAATATTTGTCTGTGCTTTCCATTGCAAAGAAAATCTTATGCCTTTCCTTTTTAAAATTAATGAGGAGGAAAGAAGATTTTTGAAAAGCACCATGTTTCAGAGCACTAGATTGTTTGTGTACAGTGACATAATGCGCTATGTGCCCTGCATGTGGTACTGAGGTCCATGCCTAAGCCTTTTTTGTCATACCTCTCTCTGTTTTCTGGTTTTTAGCTACTAAAGGAAGAAAAAGAACTGCCCACAATAACGCCCACAGTATTATTCCCTAATTGGGAAGCTTTAAAGAAATAATAGTCTTAATTATTGTATTGATTGCAGATAAATTAAGAATTTCTTTTTATTAATATTTTACTTTTTTTTCTTTTATTTTTGAAGGTTCAGCCTCCATTTTGTACACCAGATAACAGCACCTACTGGAAAACAGACTGTGGAAATTATGCTGGTGCTCTTATGTATTTCTGTTCTTTCTATGTCATCATAGCATACATCATGCTAAATTTGCTTGTTGGTAAGTGAAAATACGCATTAATAACAAAAAGATAAGGTCCATCTTGGCATATAGTGTGTGTTAGATGTGAGTCTGATGTGCTACTCAGGTATGAGGCTGCCTTGTACTTTCAATGTTATCTTGTATGAGTATGTTTTTGATCCTTCTTTGGCATGGTGTATGCTAAAACTCAGTAAGTTTGAGAATGAAAGTTTGTGGAACAAATATTTGTAGTGTACAGTTTCCCTAAGAAATACTGTTTTCAGAGCTTTTCTTTCTTCAGTTAATATTTTTTAAGCATCATTGGAATTCACTTAATTGATATTAGAATATGTTAGGTTAGGCATCTCACCAGCATTTAAGATACAGCTTTTAAAAAGTGATCAAGGTGAATATTGATGTGGCATAACAGTATATTGTGCATTCAAAATCCTTGTCTGAACATAGAGGCATTTATTAATATGAAGTTGGCACAACAGAATTACCAGTTAGAATGTAACTACAGGCTTACTTTGTGGTGTATTTTGTTCTTGTGGTTTTCAGCTATCATTGTGGAGAATTTCTCATTGTTTTACTCAACCGAAGAAGACCAACTTCTAAGTTATAATGATCTTCGGCATTTTCAAATTATATGGAACATGGTTGATGACAAAAGAGAGGTAAGATATTTTATAATAATCACATAAATCCAGTAAATTTCCAGTTTTCCTTGAAAGAAAGTATGGAGAAAACAAAGTGTGTTGACAAAACTCACTGAGCAGTTACTGTTCAAATTTTAGAAGTTCAGTGAGCGTGATCTAAAGTTGTTCATGGCCCTTCAAATACTAACATGTATTCTGTACTTAAGTACTTATAGTAGCAGATTTACAAAGAAACATACCTATTTAAAGGATTAATATAATAGCATCTTTCAGCACAGCTTCCAGAGAGTTGTCCCCTTGGAAATCTACAGACTCATATCCATTTATATGTCTCTTCCTTGGAAGAGCTTTGCTGAGATTTCAGCACTTTCTCCTGTATGATTCTTATGGAGAGCCTGATGAAGTATGGGCTGAGTAATAAGGCAATGAACTGGACTGAAAACTGCCTGCATAATCAGGCCCAGAGGGTGATGATTAGCAGCACAGATTCTAGCTGGAGGCCAGTAACTAGTTGTGTACCCCAGGGTCACTACTGGGTCTGATCCTGTTCAGAATCTTCATTAATGACCTGGACGATGGAGCAGAGGGCACCCCCTGCACGTTTGCTGATGACACCAAACTGGAAGGAGTGGCTGATTGATAAACCAGAGGGTTGTGCTGCCTTCCAGAGGGACCTCCACAGGCTGCAGAAATGGGCTTTCAGGAGCCTCATGAAGTTCAACAAGAAGAACTGCAAAGTCTTGCACCTGGAGAAGAATAAACCAGGGCAGATACATGCTGGAAGCCACACAGCTGGAAAGCAGCTTGTCAGTAAAGGACCTGGGAGTCCTGGTGGACACTAGATTGAGCATGAGCCCCCACTGCCCTTGCAGCAAAGAGGACTAATGGTATCCTGGGCTGCATTAGACAAAGTATTGCCAGCAGGCTGAGGGTCCTTCCCCTCTACTCAGCCCTGGTGAGGTCACACCTGGAGTCCTCGGTTCAGTTCTGGGCTCCTCTGTACACAGAGACACAGACATATAAAGGGACACAAAGATGATGAAGGGACTGCAGCATGTCTCCTGTGAGGAAAGGCTAAGAGAGCTGGGACTGTTCAGACTGGAGAAGGCTCAGGGGCAGCTTGTCAAGGACCTGAAGGCAGGGTGCAAAGATGACAGAGCCAGGCTTTTCCCCATGCTCTCCAGTGACAGGACTGGAGGCAGTGGGCACAACCTGAAACATGGGAGGTTTCCTGTGAACATCAGGAAACACTTTTTCACTGTGAGAATGACTGAGCACTGGCACAGGTTTCCCAGGGGATATTGTAGAGTCTCTGTCCTTGGAGATATTCAGAAGACATCTGGACATGGTCCTGGGAAACTGGCTTTAGGAAGCCCTGCTTAAGCAGTGGGGATCAGACAAGGTGAGCTCCAGAGGTCCCTTCCAACCTCAACCATTCCGTAATTCTGGAGTAAGAATAACACTGGGGGGACTGAGCTGTTCAGATGCTCACACAAAGTAAGTCATCATCTGAATTATTCATGACATCACTAAGATTTGAATATGAACGACATGGCAATGAAACAAGTTGGCTCCTTGTAGTTGGCACATGGCTGTGCTGGACATGGAAGCTGCAGTCTGTACTGATGAGGTAGAAAGTTCTGGATCCATCGTGCTCAGCACTGATACTATCTCTCTGATGTGGAACAACACATTGTCAGGCTTATTCAGTAGAACAAAATATTTGAATATTATGAGTACCACAGTTTCAAAGGGAAGTACCTTCAGTCCCCAAAAAAGACTAAAATAAAAATTGTTGTCACAGAGAGTGCAACATATGCTAAATTGCCTCTTAAAGCAGATAACCTTTAAAAGCCAGTAAACTCCCAACATTCTCCTGTCCAAGATGCAGAGAAGGGAACAAGTTTACAGTGAGTTGTAGGCTTGGATGTGAGTGTTTAAATTGTACTTTAATTTCCATTTTTCAAAGTCAGTTCTTCGGGCATATAATTCTCATTACAGATGAATGCAAATGGGAAAACTCAATCCCCAGGCAATTTTGAAAATTTCTGGCAAAATAACCAGCATAGATTGTATATGAGTCAAGTAACTGCAAAGACTTCTGTGAATGTGCTGAAGAGCTGGCTTCATGTGCATATTTTTCAGTAGTGTATTCGTAGTGACTTAAATAGGCTAGGACTTGGTACAGAGTCTTTGGAGAAATCATGTTTCTCTCAGTGATCAAGTTGAATGTCTGAGCTAGTTGTTAGGTCACACTAATAATTTACCATCTATTATGCAATTTTACGCAGGGGGTAATCCCTACCTTCCGAGTGAAATTTCTGCTGAGGCTTCTGCGAGGCAGGCTGGAGGTGGATCTCGACAAGGACAAGCTGCTTTTCAAGCACATGTGCTATGAAATGGAGCGGCTCCATAATGGTGGTGATGTCACTTTTCATGATGTGCTCAGGTACCCTGAGATTTTCTCTTAATTTTTAGAAGATATATAATGGCCCGTGTTTCTCTCCAGGCTAACAGGTAGTCATTAGGCTTGGAAAAAAGGCAAAATTGGTAGCCACAGAGACACTGAAATCTTAAATGCAGTACAAAAATTAGATTTCTCTTTCTTTCCTGCAGAAATATAAGCATTGGAAAACACAGGTCCTAGGGAATTAGTTCTAAGTATTTACGTATTTTTGCACTAAGGTCTTAGGTATGAAATTTTCTAGATTAAAATGTAATGACACCAGCATTTAAAAATAATTAAATTGTGTTTCTTCCAGCATGCTTTCATATAGGTCTGTTGATATCAGAAAAAGTCTTCAACTGGAAGAGCTTCTTGCTAGGGAACAACTGGAATATACCATAGAAGAGGAGGTGGCCAAACAGACAATACGCATGTGGCTGAAGAAGTGCTTGAAGCGAATCAGAGCAGTAAGTCAAGCAAAACCAAGATCTGAATGGTTGCATAAATTGTACTGTTCAACAGTCCTGGAATTTGCTGCCACTATGTTTCATTTGCTCTGGAGTCATGATACTACTTATTTGGAGTAGTATGTAGCATTTGCTAACTCATCAAAAAAAATGTATGTTACAGCTCAATTGAAAGTGCAACAAAAATAAGCAACTTTTGAAGGCAAAACCTGTCGTCCAGGCATATCAGGGTGGAGACCACTTCCAGTAGGCAGTGGTTGAAGCTAGAGGGAAGATTAGCCAGATCACACAAATCCTGGCCTGTCACTTGGCTTCAGCACTGTAGGAAATCGCAGTCTCTTTAACTTACTAGTATAGACCTAGCCAGTGCTTCTGTGTTCTGTTTGTGCAGTGCTTCTGATTGTCAGAAGCATTTTTACCTTTGCTCAGGATAGCTACAGTATATGCTGGCTGAAGTTTGGCTTGGATTAAATTTCTATTAAAAAAAAAAAATCAAGACATTTTTCTTAGGTTTTGCAGTTATTCTCATTTTTTCTTCCAAAACCAGCTCTTCCTTTATATAAAAAGTCACAATCTGATTCCATTGATGACTGGCTTTTCAGTTTCTGTAAGTCTGAGTCCAACTTTTGGCACATATATTTTTTATTTCTATAAAAAAATACTTCTTGTGATTGGAAGTTTTCTGCAGCAATCTGTATCATGGCATCTGTCTTCTGTTAAATTTATAAAACATTTATAAAAAATTGTAACAGGACATTTTGAATGTAATGTGCATTCCAGCTGAAACATCAGTGTTCAGTGATACATAGTTTCATTTTTATCTCATCTCTGTATATGAATAACAATGGCAGTAAATTTAGTCTCAGCTCTCAATTCTGGGTTTGTTCAACTCTGTTGTTCATTTCATTATGATACTGAACTACACTATGTTAAAGTAAACATGCTCTTCATTTCACTCCAATAATATGGTTCAGATCATTTCACATTATATGAACCTTTTATAAACTGAGTGTGATTATGGAAGTTAATATATATTTTCAAATTCTCTTGTTATTCTCCAAGTCTCTCTAGAGGGAGCATGTGAAAACTACCCAGGAAAGTGAAAACCTTCCTAAAGGCTGTTTGTTTTAATTTAAAAGCAAATTAGATTGTAAGATCATAATGGTAGCAGGTTTGTTTTTCTATTTGTACTATAAATCTATACTTAGTCCCAAGGTTTTCACTACTGTTTTATTCAGTCTTATTGACAGCCTGTTCCAAAGTCCATGAAAGAAATCAGATATTTTTCATTACCTTCATGTAATTTCCTGTGAATCTCTATTTCCTTGTTTCTTTTTCTTTGCAAGAACTTTTAACTCATCAATTTGAAACTTTGCGTGTGTTTAAACTGTAGGTTTAAGCCAACAGTTGAGCAACATGCCTTCCACTTAATATAATTAATGATTTTCGTCCTCTATTCCCTATGCAAAGGTTAGAAATATGCTGGAAGTCACTTCATTTTAATAACAACATCTGATACATGGATCTTTGTTGATGTACCTGGTATCCACATCTGGCTGTTCAGTTAAATATTTAGAATGCTTTAAAAAAAAAAATCAAACACTGTGACACACCAATGAGAATATTTTTTTCATCACATCTTGTACCTTCATAGAAACAACAGCAGTCGTGCAGCATTATCCATAGTCTACGAGAGAGTCAACAGCAGGAGTTGAGCCGATTTCTGAATCCTCCCAGCATTGAGACAACACAGCCAAGTGAAGATATGAATGCTATTAATCAAGATAACAGTGCACAGCCAGAGGTATGTTAAACAGAAAACTATCAGCTACTCGTAACAAATTCAGGAAACTTCCATGTTTCTTATTTCCTCTTTTTTAAAACATCATTTTAACTGAAAAAGCTGAAAGCAATACCTTGTTTTGCTTCAGTCTTTGCCATCAGATGTAAAGGCAAGATGGTCTAAGGCAGTAATTCCCCGACATAGTTAGCTGTCTTGCCATCACTATAAAGGGCAGTTGTATAACTCTGACAGCACCAGCTTTCAGCTCCAGCTTGAGCTTTGTACACGCTTGGGGATGTGAAGCTTTCCAGTTCAGTCATCCTGAACTAGTGTTCACACTAAGAGAGATAATACTGGGCATGCTGTGACCTCTGAGTAGGAGCCCTGGGCTCTTCCAGGCTAGGGAATGTAAAATGTACAACAAAAGGGCTACTTTCTACAGTGGATGTAGAAAGCTGAGAATAATTTCAGACCCTTCAAAGGGACTGTACAGTGGCATTGAGCCCACTTGATCTTTTCACATTTGTCTGTTTTCTGGGGCATTAAAAAATAGAAACCATGCAGCCTTAAAAATGGCAATTTGTTTGTATTCGTGGATTAAGCTTGAAATAGGATAGAAAGAGAACCCTCCTTAGGATTATACCCATGCAGTGGGGAACTATCACTGAGATTCTTTTATCTCTGTTCAGACGAGTAGCCAGCAGCAGCTCCTTAGCCCCACACTTTCTGACAGAGGTGGCTATCGACAAGACTCTGGAGATGCTGGGAAACCTCAGCGTAAATTTGGACAGTGGCGCTTGCCATCAGGTAAGTGAAGAAGGTTTATCAGTAGAGTCCCCACATGAAAAATCGCTGCTGTACAGTAACAAGGCCATGAGAGGCTTTGTGGTTCAGAGTTCTGCCCCCTGGCTGCTGCTTGCACCCACATCAGGGCTTTTCTACCCTCATACTTGTTACAATAAAGCAGTTTCTCCCCTTCTTCACAATTCTGAAAGTTTGGAAGATGGACTCAAGCACTGTCCTGTGCAGGTGGTTGCTTTTTCTTACTTTTTCATTTACCCAGGACCTTTGGACTGGGGACTGTACCAACCTGTATGTTTGGATAGCATCTTCTGCATTTAGAGTTCTCTTTTATCATGTAAAATATGGTGAAAATTAATTAAGTTTTTCCTAACAAGAGTAATGATTTTTGACTGCCTCGTCTTGTCTACGCATGCCAGATGTATGATTTATAACTTACACCCTAATAACACATTTTTAGACCTTCACTTTAAACCAGAATTGACCATGTGTACAATCAGTTTCCCATTTATTTTCTCAGAAACAGGCTACTCTGCCAACTACAGTCCACCAGGAGAAAAAACGCTAGGCTATGCATAGATGAGGGTGCTTATAGGAGGGTGGGAGAAGTGCATAGCTACAGTCTGATGACTTATTAAGTCCGTATCTCTAGAGTCCATAAAATGCTCAAGAAGCAGATCTACTCTAATACAGAACTTTCTGTTTAATTTCATAGCCCCCAAACCACTAAGCCATTCAGTGTCTTCAGTCAACCTCCGTTTTGGTGGACGCTCGACTGTGAAATCTGTTGCATGCAAAATGAATCCCATGTCTGATGCTGCTTCTTGTGGATCAGAAGTCAAGAAATGGTGGACAAGACAATTAACTGTGGAGAGTGATGAGAGTGGAGAGGACCTTCTTGACATCTGAGAAACATTTAAGTCATACTACAACAACAACAACCACATCAAGTACAGTCTAATTTCCTATGCTTAGAATAAAGACACTGTGTGATGTATGATTTCTTTAAAACCAATGTCATAAATCTTTTTGTATGCTTCTCTTTCTGCCATATGAAGCATAGCACACACTTAGATGTTAGAATTGACCTCTATAGGTACTAACTGTACTTTAAGAAACCTGTATATTATAGCAGCACTAACAAAGCCAGAAAGACTGTATTGCCTTTAGCAGACAGAGTATTGAAAGATTTCATGTGGTCTGTAGAATCATAGTGAAAATATATTTTGATATACACACCTCTGTGTTTTTCTTCAACTTGTGCTATACTTTAAAGTGGCGACACTTTACAATACAGGGGTAATGTATTTTATCTTGTGTTTTCACTCAGTTCTTATTTAATAACTTTACTTTAGAAAGATTTTATTATTCACAAATGACCTGAAGAGGTCAGCACTGACTTCATGTTCAAGGGAAGTATTTTTACAAAGTACAGATTCTGAATTGCAATTCTAAGCTTTTTCTGGACCTTTTTTTAAAATATGCAAGATACAGGATAATTCATTTTAAAATCAGAAGGTGAAGGATTGGCTTTTAATATGTAAATATATTTGAGGTTCAGTTAATTATGCAAAGAGCTTGATTTTCATAGAGAAAACAGGAAAAAAAAAAAGAAAAAAATACATGAAAACTGTGCATTTAAGCATCCAGCAAAAGTCCTCCACACAAAAAACATGGGTTTATGCTTCATTTGGAGAATATACTGGCTACATGTATGTATGGAGTCATTATTCTCCTGTTAATTGAGTCCCATTTCCTTGTGCAGTTGTAAAATAATTTTCTTCTCGTCTGTGATAAAAATTAGCATGTTGGGGATTCTAATTACAGAATGGTATTGTATGTCTTTAAAAATACGTTCAGTTTTGCCTATATAGGTCGAAGCGTTACCCACATTACTACTCATGCTACAGCCCTGCAAAGCTAAGGCATGACATGTACTGCGGTTAAGTACCTTTATCCCTTTTATCCCAATGCATCATATTTTGACATGTTAGCCTTCATTTCTTTTATGAACCACTAATAGTGCTACATTATGAAAAAGCACCCATTGCTTTCATAAAAGTTTTTCCAGTGAAAGGCCAATGCTATACAGATATGGAGGCGGAGAACAAAAGCCACAAAATGCAACAGCATTTGTTAGTTTCAGAATTTAGGACTGTCAAAAAATGTGGGGTAAAAATGTGCCCTTCCCTCAGGGAGGAACTAAGAGTTTGCAGATTTTGTTGCTTGGCCCCTGACTGGGTTTTTTAGCATAGCTGGGACCTTTCTGTTACCATTGTTTCCTATGGAAATGATAGTTTACTCTAACATGGCCTGACGTGAGATATTGTTAGAGGCTCACAGTTTATTTACATCACCACTTCAAAAACACATCCTTTCAAAAGCAGACAAAAGCCAGTGTTCTGAAATTTCTTCTGGCCAAGATATTAATGCAAAACAATCAGAATACAACACAGATGCCTTCACCAGAAATGCAAAATTAGTTTTGGCCATGATATACAGTTTTCTTGGCATCTCTCAGTGTTTTGTTCCTAGTGTATGGTTGAACATTGTTTAGATTTTTTTCTAAAGTAGTCATATTGAACACATCTATCTTTTCTGGGCGTTTTATGTGGTTTGGGGTATATTTAAGTTTAAATCTAGTCAAATGTAACTCTATAGTAACAGGATGTGTGCATTCTCTTGTTTATTAGATTATGAACCATCAACAAAACTTCATATGCAAATCCATTATTTTGTGTTCTGTTTTGTGCTTGTTTAAGTTAAGCTTTTGTATATATGATAAAAAGATAAATGTTGGATTTATAAAAGATAGTATCTTTGAAAGTTCAATACTATATTGAACGAAAGATCACTCTAGCTGCAAACCTTCTTTTTAAAAAATCTGGCAAACATTTTTTCCTTGCCTTACAGTACACTGTCAATAAAAGTGAGTTGCTTTAAACAATATTACTCCCTCTAGTTTTCATTCTAACTGCACTTGCTATACCTGGCTCGTTTGTGATAATGCTGCATAGTAACTAGTTCTGTGGTTTGTACACGATTATTTAGAGGTACTGTCAAACTCTTGTAATTGGAGGGCCTTTTTTTTTTTATTAAACTCCAGCAATTGACCTCATCAGTAATGCCACACAGGGTCTCAGTCAAAAGATGGGACTAAATAAGACTGTTCATTATTTATTTTTATTTAACCCAGTTTATCTTTGTTTGCTTTAGAGTTTGGATGTGAGTGTGTTGTGTGTGGTTGTCCTGTTTTACTTTCGCAGATATAGGAAATGGAATGAAGTTATAAAGATGCAAATGTAATATATACCAGAGCACCCAGGTGACTATGTTAAGGTAAAAACTTCCTTAGTATGATACCCTCAACATAACTAAACAAGGTGATAACCTCCTTCTCTGCAGCAGAGCAACCAATGCACATTTGAACATGCAGATGAAGACGCGGAAAAGAGAATTGAAGAATGTCTGGAGTTCAAACAGCTTGCACAAACAGTAGAGAGACACTAAGTGGAAATAGTGTATCAGGAACTCAGAGTCAGTGCAGTCTCTCAGCCTGAGAGAAAAGTTCAAACAAGACTAAATCCCAAGCAAAGGTAAACAAAAAATTGCCAGGGGAATATTACTACCTGCAAAGTTATCCTATATAAGTGAAAACAGGAAGGTGTTTAGACTTCATCCACTAAGAGAGCTCTGTTCTGCAGGAAGCAAGTTGTAAAAGTCTTCATGGCTTGGGTGGGTAAAAAAGCGGACTGCATATTGTCAGTGCCCAAATAAAAAAGAGCTTGTGGGAAGTCTGAGAACACGCAGCAAAGATGTATCTCCATATCACTCCAAAGTCAGGTCAGATTTCAGACAATCACTTTTGTAATGAAGAAGCTAATAACTTGAAACCATTTGCTTCTGGAAGGTATCCAAGTGAATTAAGAACTGAAAACATAAAATCTGCCGTTATCTGGCAAGCTGAAAATACCATCTTTGTTTTAACTAATGTGGAGCAATCAGGCTTAAACATCTTCAAAATAACATTACATTCAGTATTGTCTGCATTTGAAGACCAGTAATCACAGCTTCTGAAAAGCCAAAGGAGGTTTAGATGCCAAAAGCAAGTGAATATGACTTCGTGTGAATAATCTATTTTGTTCTCTTCTTTCGCAACATGCCCACAACTCTTGTTATTGTGCAGATTAGGGTGTCCATGAATAAGTGAAGTAGAAGAGTTCACACTATTGTGACAGTACATTTGAAGCAGCAACAAGCAATATCCCATCCAAGAATGCCCATTCCTTCTCTTGCAATATTTTCACAAGTGAAAACAAACACTGGCCTGAGTTGTCAGTCAAAATTTCCAATAGGATTATCTCAATCTCCCTCAATCTAGCTTTCGGAGACTAAATTCATTCCTTCTATCGGAGGCAGTTTAGTCACACCACGGATGAACTTGCCGCAATGCATAGGCTGATGCTGGGAAGTTGGCTGCCCTGGTTTGTTCAACTGCTCTGCAACACAAAGGGAGCTTCACTAGAATTCAATTAACCTTCCTCTTCATCCCAAGGGCGCTGGTGTCGGACTCCATTATCAGCTCTTTCCCACTGTTCTCAATGAAGAACCTCTAAGCACCAAGTTATTAACCCATCAGTGAGCTAAGTGTATGGCGGTGGCATTTTATCCCCCTTCCACAGGTTCCTGTCTCAGGTGCTTATTCCAATACCCTTACTGGTTTCCTACTGTTATCTGACTTGCATATCTGCCCTGGGAATTTGGGTAAATTACCTGAGCCCCTACAAAAGTGTGTTTCAGACAAGGGTAGCTTAATGGAAAGGCAAGAAATGTCTTAAGGACAGGTAGACAAAAGAAAAAAACTCACACCACTATTCATCAGCCTGAAGAGCTGTTGACATTAGACTTCTTCTTTCTGAATTCAAGCAGTAGCCACCAGTGGCACAAGCCTCCATTGTCTCAGTGGGCATTTGTTTCAGGAAAACTTTTGCCTAGATCGGAAACAAACGGGTTTACACCAGACAGACATCAATGTGTCCTAGAGACTTGGGTAGTCAAGTTCTAACTGAGTACTCCACATGTTGGAAGTCACTGTGGTGGAACTGTTGTTTGTAAGTACATCTTCCTCCAAAGATAAAAAAAAGAGTTGTTCCTTGAGCTCATTGGCAGAGAAGCTGGATGTCACATCCCCTCTCATGCCCTGTTTTCTAGTTTTATTTTGACTTTTGCTCTTCAGTTTCCTGTGAGGTGGGCAATGTCTAAGCATATTCTCTATTCTGAGTATGTGCTCCCAAGAAATGGAGAATTCAACACAGTTATGATTTCGCTATAATGCACCTGATGCTAGTTTATAAGGGCAATGAGTCTTGCTTTTCTGGCTCGGCACCTATTCCACCGAAATACATGTTTTACAGATCAGGTATTTTCACCTCCAGATTGTCTAAATTCATACTGCCTGGGGAGTCTGTTCACTGCACATTTAAAAACAAGGAAGAAAAAAGTGAAAAAGAAACAGGAAAAAAAGGAAAAAAATAAAATTTAAAAAAATATATAAGTAGTTACCTGGGTGTTGAGTTTTAGTTTCTTTTTTAGGCTTTTTCATTTTAGCACCTTCTTGAAAATAAATAAATCTCTGTTTCTTCATAAAGACAAGCTTCTCAGTTGTTCTGACCAATCTAAGAAAACAAAAAAGTCTTACTTTTTTCTTAATGTGTCCGTTTCTCAAATGCTCCTCAGTTTTGAAAGGAAGAGTTTCACATCTTGACTCTTCTTTTTAGTTATAAATGTCATCAAAACCTATTTGCTGTATTTGACTAAAAATTGTCTATACAAAAAACTGATTTTCCCCGTAAATTTTTATGATGAACAAAAATTCACCCAGATTAACTTTTTTTTCTTTTTAGTCCACCAGGAAAAAGTCCATTTGTCTGAAAAACTGGACGTGACCCAGAAGTGTGAGCTTCCATCCCAGAAAGCCAGCCATGTCCTGGGCTGCGTCAGAAGCAGTGTGGTCAGCAGAACCAGGGAGGTGATTCTGCCCCTCTGCTCTGCTCTGGTGAGACCCCATCTGGAGTACTGCATCCAGCTCTGGGGTCCCCAACACAAGAAAGATGTAGATCTGTTGAATTGAGTCCAGAAGACTGTCATGAAGATGATCACAGGGCTGGAGCACTTCTCCTATGAAGAAAGGACAAGAGTATTGGGGTTGTTCAGCCTGGAAAAGAGAAGCCTCAGGGGAGTCTTTACAGCAGCCTTTCTAAGGGAGGGTGATAAGTAAGGCAGAGAGAAACATTTTACCAAGGCCTGTAGTGACAAGACAAGGGTTAGTGGCCTTAAACTGCAAGAGAGTAGGTTTAAATTAGATGTTAGCAAGAAATTCTTTACTATGAGTGTGGTAAGACACTGGAACAGGTTGCCCAGAGAAGTTGTGGATGCCCGATCCCGGGAAGTGTTCAAGGCTATGCTGGATGAAGCTTTCAGCAATTTGGTCTAGTGCCTCTGTCTATGACAGGGAGCTTGAACTAGATGGCCTTTGAAGATTCTTCCAAGCCAAACCATTCCATGTTTCCTGATCTGGCATTAGAACAGTGTCATACAGAAAAATGGTAACTAGGAGAAAGAGGAACACTGCCTTTGTTATCACTGTGTTGAAAACTGTACAACAATGAACATTTTACTCTGTTTGCTGTAACTGATTCAGAGAAAATGTTTGTTTGCTGACATCACTGGCGTCTTCTTCCCAAGCACTTCAAGTATTTCAAAAACTAAACATTACCATGGGAAAAAAAAAAAAATCACTTTTCCCAGTTCTTCCTCAGCTGCCTGCTAAGTCCTCCAGTGCAACCAGTCCCTTGGTGGTGAGTTTTGCAGTGCCTGCTGGCCTTGTCCACCCAGCTGTTGGAGACAACCACTTCCTTATCAAAGCTGGTAGATGCAACTAGCTGCCTGTGCCTCTGTCCTCCCTGACAAAACTTGAGTTTTCCACTGCACCCACAGTGGAGGAGACTTAAAGCTCTAAGGAGTCCAGTCCCCTCAGGCTGCTCTGCCTGGAGAGGGACACCTCAGTCACCGTGGTGCTTGGGCAGCCAACAGGCACAGAAAGGCTTGCTTAAGTGCTTTTGCCAAAATTTTCAGATTAGTGACGTTAGGTATGCAGTTTATCCACTCCTGTGCTGCAGACATTTCCAAAGGTATGATCCACTGAATTGGTTTAGCTTCTGTGATTAAGAAGGTGTCAAATTCAGCTGATCTTCTACCAGAAAGTACAATGTCCTGAACTTGGCCGGTTTAACTCTTCTTTACCCAGTTGCTTCTTCTTCTGAGCTGCATAAAATACTCCAGATTTTAAAATCCCCATATTAAAACCTTCATCTTAATTGGATCAGCAACAGCAAGAATATTTATCTGACATTTGCCTACAGATGTATTTCAACTTCATATGTATTCATCAATTCAGAGTGTGTCTGTAAGGGATTATCTATATGAGGAAGTTGCACCAGCTTAAATTTACCCTGTTACTGCAAATTGATTTCTCTAAATCAGTTTGAATACCTGTGGAAATGCTTATTTCAGTTTAAAGATTTTTTCTATTGATCTATGTTTAACCCCAAATAACCCAAATGAAATGCTTTTATTCCAATGGCAAGAGTGATCCCACAGGTCTACACATCAGCCATTTTAATACCTGCACCTTTAATTATATGCTTTTACATCCTTTGCTTAGAGGAGGCCCTTCTTAGGATCTCTGGAAGCAGCTGAGATGCTAACTAAAAGTGGTCTTAGGAGCAGCTTGCACCTTGCTCCCTGAGCATCCTTGGAACTCGGTGCCCCAGCAGCCCTGGCTCCGTCATGTGCCACTCCAAACACTTTGCCCAAAGATATCGTTGAGCAGTTTGGGGTAATATACACCAGGAACCAACCCCCAGGATTCATTTCAGATGAGACTGAAA